GAAGTTTCTAGCTTAGCTGGCCAGGACAATAGTGATGCACTTACTGGGTTAGAAATATCTTGGAGAAGGGGGAGATGGGGCTGTCGGGCAGAGAGAACGTCGCAGAATGCCACTTGCCCTACTTCCCCATTTGGCCTGGGTTAGGAGATGGACTTGACTGAAAGACATATCTGGATTTGTGTTTTCCTGCATCTTTTTCTCCTTAAAGTCAAGCACAGGAGCCAAGCCTGTATCGTTAGAAGCTCTTGTGCTTTCATCTATATTCAACCAATCTTGTCCTATCTCCCGGGTTGACTAACTCCAGTCCCCAGGGATGGGACTTGGCTGCTTAGCCCAGGCTGAATGTGTCCCCGCTCCTCAAAGAGGACACCTCTTCCCCTGCACTCCCCGCCCTTGCAGAGGCTGCCCACGAGTTCTGCCCATCATTTATTTCCCTTACCGCCCCCCCATGCTCCCAAACACTTGGCACCAAAGTCGTGTGTTTCTTGGCACTTGGACCCCGTGTGGTGTGGAGCATGGTCATTCCACTCGCAGACATGGCAACTACACAGTTTTCCAATCCCTCTCCTCCGACAAATCTACCTGGGCCCTGGCACCTCCTCTGCAGGCCCATCCCCAACTCAGCCCCCACTCGCAGCCTGTCTTTGCTTCCTGGCCTGTCTTTGGCCCAGGTGGATGAACAGGCTGTAGGTCCGTGGAAAGTTTCCTGCAGCTGAGCAGGGAATGGATGCCTGTCTGTAAACCAGGACTTTGGACATGTCACCCCTGCTGGAGACAGTGAGGGGCACGCAGTCAGCTGTACCACCCGTGGTGAGTGCGGCATGCAGCTCTCAAGCCATGTCCACGAGGCAGCGTCGTCCCAGGGCAACGGCTCCCTGTATCCACTTGTGGCTGTGACCTGACCTTGAACTGTAGTAATGAGGATCCTTAAATATCACTGTGCACACAGGATTCACGCACATGCACACACACACACACACACACACACACACACGGACATATTTTAAAATGTTAACCTGAAGGCCCAGTGATAAAAAAGCAATCTATCAGGATTTTTTTTTTCCAAATACAATAATGCAACTTGCAGAGGACAATCGGGGGTTGGTACAACTTCCACTCATGCTCTCACACCTCCTGTGGTGCAAGACTGTGTGATTAGACAGCACTGGCCACAGTGAGGGCCCCAAGGCATTGAGATGTCTCCGGTCAACGGTCCTTCAACCAACACTGACCAAACAGCTTCTAGGTATCAGGCACTCTGCCAGGCGTGGAGTGGAGCTCAAAAATGAGGCAGGCACATCTTCGCTGTCTGGGAACGTAGAGTCCGTTGGAGGGAAATCACACTCTTGAACAAGTAACGGCAGTAGGGGGCTGTCTCAAAGCCGTGCACCCTTGGAGTAGTGGAAGATTTGGTCTTGGTCCTGCCCTACCACTTGGCTTTACCAGGTGGCTGTTTGCTTTGTTCTTCACCCTGGTTTCCCCGGTGTTGGGACACTGGGACTCCACTCCTACTGGTAGCAGGGACCCTTCCGGGGACTTCTATAACAAGAAGATCGGGGCTCCCATGAGAGCCTGTTCCACCCCAGGGGAACCCTTTCTGTCTCCCACCCTTTCTGTCATTTTACAAAGGTGGCAGCTGGCCAGGTAGTGTGGCCGGGGAACCTGGGGGAACATTGTTAGTTAGGGCTGGAGGTGGGCAGCAGAAACCGGGTGACCTTTAACCCCTTCCCATCCTGAAATTTATTAATTTTTATGAACTATCTCTCCAGCAAATCGTCCCCACCACTTGATTTGGGGTTTATAATACATGCCCCTCTGAATCCATTTAGAGTAGCATTTCCCAGGTTGCATCCTGTGGAACACTACTGTGAGCCACTCGTGGGCTTTGGAGGGAAAAACGTGCCCCATGCATGGTGAGCGTGTTTGGAAATTTCAGGTTAAACAAAATTAAATGAGCTGTTTCACTGCAGGACCTCTTTCAGCCTTTAATATGCTAGTGTGCTTATGTGTCTCAAAAAGGACAATATCATATGTGATGTTTTCTTGCCTTATTTCTAACCTTGTTTGAACTAGGAGCCTTGTTTTTGGGAAATTTCTGAGCAGCACACTTTGAGAAATACTGGCATGGAAGAATTTCACTGCATATAAATTGGTGATGGTCATCTGTTTCCCATATTCTTTTAGAAAATAGCCTTCAATGGCAGTAGGAGAGTCTAAGTTTAGATATGGAAGAGTTTCCCAACTGTAAGGATGCTTAGAGAGTAGAACCCTGAAGTGTCATGGGAAATTGCAGTGAAAGAGCGTACCCACCTTCCTGTCCTTCAACAAGCTATCCCATGAGTCATTATAAATAGAATGAATTATCAAGGAAGCTTCTGGAATCTTTTTATCTTAAGGGGCCTTTGAAAGTAGGATATAATTGAGGGATAAGAAGTTTGGAATTAAAAGGCAGGAAGACAGACCGGCTGTCTTCTTGATAGATTCTGTCTAAGTGTCTGCAATTAACTCATTCATTCTCACACTGCCTATAACATGCATTTGCAGGAAACACCTTCCTAACTCAGGTTTCTAGGACAAGTGGGACCAAAATAGGGGGCCAGAAGCTGCCCAAGTTCTCTTGGTTGTATTTCAGTAACTATCACATTTGCCACGCAGGATGCTAAGCCTTTGCATACATCTTATTTGTTCCTTGAAACGACCTATAAGGTTGCCTAATGCTATTGTATCTATTTTACAAAATGAGGACCTGACGCCCAGAAAGGTTAAAAGACCTTGCTTAAGGTCATGCAGCCGGTACGGTGCAGAACCTGGGTCTGAGCACCGAAGCCCTTATCCACTACGTCGCCCTGACTGGCCCTGCGGGTCTGTGGACAGCTAAGAGATCAGGGCTTCCTTGAAACAGGCCTCCGTCCATGAGGCTGTGCATGTGTGGAGAGGGCGGAGGTGGGTGAGGTGTCTGCCCACGCTGGTAAGGACGCCAGGGGAAAGAGGACGTTCTTCAGCCCCCACCAGCCGTGGCCAGCGAGGCCCCTTATGTTCCCGACGACAGCCTGGCTCTGCGCCGCGGTCGTCTCACCCTTGCCAAGCACATCTCTTCTCATCAGCCATCTGCCCCCTCGCTCCTGCTGGTCGCCCACAGCACATGGGCAGCTGCCCTGTTAGAGAGACGGGAGATGACACCAGCTTAGGAATCAATACATTCTCTGGCACGCCCATGTCCCCTGATGGGAATGTGGCAGGATCCAAAATACACTTACTCCTCATCCAACTCCACTCTGTCAGGGGTTGATGGCTGCAGAGGAGGCTCCGTAACTCCAGTCTGCAGGCTGGAGCTAATGAGGCTGGGCTCTGGGGGGGGGGGTGAGCTCAGGCCCGTAGCCCGAGGCCTCCTCCACGGAGGCTGGAGATGTGAGCGAGGCTGCAAGAGAGGCGCCAGGGCCTGGAGCAGCTACGCCTTCAGGAAAGCAGACTGCCTGGAGGAAAGACATGCTTCTGCCCCGCCAGAAAGTAAGCCCAGGGCACCTGCCATCTGTCCTGGCAGGCTGCGCGGCTGATAGGTTGGTCTGGGGGGTCTGTAAGTACTGTGTGCTCCGGGGGCAGGGAGCTGCGTGCAGGGCACTCAGAATGAATGTGTGGCGAAGGTGGCTTCATTGTGAGAAGATGGCCTGAGCCACATTTGCAGGCCTTTTTCCAGGAATGGGTATCCGTGAACTGAATACGCCCTACCCTCTTGCCTGGTTCCCCTGTGTAGGGTCCTGGGAGGGTTTAGAGGGCCAGGCCCTGGGCACAGAGGAGGACACTACTCCTTCCTATAACATTAAGTGGCCTCAGCGGCACTCACACCTTCAGGCTAACATGTGGCCCTGGCCAGGTGGCTGGGTGAGGATTGGATGAAGGTGGTTGGAAGAATCTCTCTTGAACTTCTAAATGTCACTGCCCGTGGTGGGTTTCTCTGAGTGCCTCATCTAAAGTGGCAGTCCCCAGCTGCCACCCCCAACAGGTGACGAGTTTGTTCCCTTACTGTCCCTCTCACTGACCTGCAAGTTCCTCTGGGGCAGCAAGTGTATCTCTCTTATTCGTGTTCTCTGTGCCTAGACCAGTGTCTGGCACATGACAAACACTTAAATATTTGCTAAATGGATGAGAAAAATAATGATAAAGGAAGGCACAACCCTACCTGCAGACCTTCAGGTTGAGATTCTTAGAAAGCAAGCTTGATTTGGGCACTTCTCTGCTAACAATCCCCTTGGGTCCCCTCACTCACAAGGACAGAGTGCAAACTCCCTGGCCTGGTGTCGACCCCTGGTGGTCTGGCCCCTGCCGACCTCTCTGGCTTCATTTCTCACCCATCGTCCCCCATGCAGCCTGCACGCTAACCCACGCTTTGAGTGCATAAGACTTGGGGACCTGCTGAAAATGCAGACTCCCGAGGCTCAGCTCCCCAGACTCAGATACAGCTGGTGCTAGGTGGGGTGCAGGGATCATCACTTTTTAACAAGAACCCTGGGTGATCCTGGTGGCAGAATCACACTTCAAGGAGTGATGCTTTTGTCCAAGTACACCACAGGCAGCTCCTTGAAAGGACCATGTACTTTCTCACCTCTGTGCCTTTGTATACGTAGTGATTTCTGGCTGGAATAGCCTTTGTCCTGCCACATTTTCCACCCAGAAAATACCTATGCATCCTTCAAGACTCAGTTCACGCATGGTGGATGCAGGGCTGCCTCCACCAGGCACGTGGAGTTTTTCTCTCCATCCAGTGCATTGTGTATATGCCTAGATCATTCTGCTTATTTCTCTCCCTCCACCCACATCCTGACCGTGACACTGTGAGCTCCCGGGAAACCACTCTGAGTTATCTCTGGACCCCTGGTTCCCGGCAGAGTGTCTAGTGATTGTTGGACTAGAACGAGGGACCTGGATGTGCTCTAGCAGCACCCGCCCCTCACGCCATCCCTGCCTAACCACACTCTCTATTTCTGACTGCTGGGTCTTTCCAGGAGTTCTCGCTCCAGAGAATGGACAGCCTTGTGGACGATCGTGTCAACATCCTGGGATTTTCCATTTTCAACCAATCCCATGCTTTCTTCCAAGAGTTTTCCCAGAGCCTCAACCAGTCTTGGCAGGAGAACTGTGACCATGCGCCCTTCACCGGGCCTGCGGTAAGTACCCACCCGAGCTTCTCCCTGGTGTCCCCTCTGCGGGCCAAGCCCCGGGTTACAAGCCCTCCTGGAGTCCAGCCTTCTTCTCCTTTCTCCAGTCCCAGCACTAAGGAGATGTGTAGAGGTGCCGGGACACGGGTGCAAGGGATACAGTTTGGGAAGCAGTGAGCTCGAGAACTACAAACTTGGTCGAGAAGGCAGTAGGGAAAGAATCGTGTGGTGGCCCCAAGCTGTCATTTAGTGATGTCTGCGAGTCTCCTGTGGCCGGACTCCTGACAATGCTATTGCCAAGGACTTCCTGAGCGTAGGATGCAAGAATCTTGCTGTTGGAAGGGCCTCTTAGCTGATCCGCTTCCTCGTTGTTCAGATAAGGAAAGGGAAGCCCCGGCTGGAACGAGGTGAGGGGTGGGGACGTGCCAACACCATGCCTGCTGCAGAGTGGAGCTAGATGCCCTGACCTCTGGCTCTTCCCACCCCCTAGCCCGGGCCACTTCCTGAGCAGAAGCCCATCTGCAGAGGCTTCCTCTGCCTTCCCCTTGTGCGTGCTCTCTGTCGCTCCTTCCCGTGTGGTGTGTGATGGGAGCAGACCTTTCCCTGGCCATTGCCTTTGGGCTGTGTGTTCTTCCTCTGTGGAGCAGGTCAGGTCTACCTGCTTGTGTCCGTTTGTTAAAAGGCAGGTTCTCAGGAGACCAGGATTGTGCGGCTTTCTGTGTCCTGTCCCGGCCATGTTACACACTTTGTTTCATTTTTAAAAGCCCCACGAGGCAGGCCATGTGATGCTCAGAACGACTTCCTGAAGTAATGGTGTCTCCATTTTACAGATCATAAAACTGAGGCCCAGAAAGGCTAAGTAAATAGCTCAGGGGTCACACAACTGGCGAGGAACCAGGATGGAAGCCAGGCCATGTGGCCATACGGTTTATACTTTTAACCACTGTGCTGTTCGCCCCTCTCTGGTACCATCATTTCCTTGCCACATTGTACCGAAATTGGCCTGGCAAAAGGACAGGTACAGCCATGTGCTGCATAAGGGCGTCTCAGGCAACGATGCACTCTGGGGACCTATATGAGAGTGGTTCCATAAAATTCTAATGCCATATTTTTACTGTACCTTTTCCATGTTTAGGTATGTTTAGATACACACATTGTGATACAGTTGCCTGCAGTGTTCAGTGCAGTAACATGCTGTACAGGTGTGTGGCCCAGGAGCAATAGGCCATACCACCTAGCCTAGGTGTGCAGTAGGCTGTTCCGTCCAGGTTTGTATAAGTGCATTCTGTGATGGTCCCACAATGACAACATTGCCTAACAATGTATTTTTTAGAACTTCTTCCCTTCATTAAGCAATGCATGCCTGTAGTCAATAGCTGTTTGTAGAATGAATGAGTGAGTGAATCAGGTGGAATGATGAGTTGGAGGTGGAGAGAAATGAAAAAGAACTAGGCCTAGGAGATGGCAATGGAATCGGGCACCCTCCTGGAGTGGGAGGTTGTCCCACTCCAACTAGGAGTGACACCTGTCTTGGTAAGACATGCCCAGAGGCAGAGGCGTGTCTAGACATCTGCACACATGGGCGACTAATTAGTAGTTAGCCAGTGTGGTGATCCAGGGTGGGCCTGCTGCAGGCAGGGCAGAGACAAGGTGACCTTTCCCAAAACTCTCTTCCTTTACGATGATGTAGCCTGGGGACAATCTTAGGAAGTAAGGGGTAGTTAAGGGGATGAGAGCCCATGAAAAACTCAGGAAGCTTTGATCCAGGGAACTGGACCAGGAGAAGAGGGTTTGAGAAAGCAGTTTCAAAGAAGGTTTGTAGAGCACATCCCAACAAGCTGTTTTAGACCTAAAATCCCATAGGAAGGATTTGGGGGGGGGGCATCTGAAGGAAGTGGGTCCTCACCCCCATTTGATGGCTTAAGGGACAGCGAAGGACATCCTCAAGCACAGGGTCACATGCAGGATCAGACTCGTCCACCAGCAGCAGTACAGGCCCTGTTCTCGGCCAACCCTGCAGTTCTTTCAGTCGCCACGCCAATGTTTTCACAGGTGCTGATGAACTTGAAAGGCTCACGGCACGATAGCAGCAAAGGGGGAAAAATCTGCCTCCTCCTCCGCAGCGCAAACCCTACCACATTTGGTATATGGCCTAGTGAAAAAAAAGGTCCCAGGCTCTGTTTCCAGTTCCTCTCTGCAGGTTTCAGCCCTTGCATTAGTGCTCACGTTGGCTGTGAGCAGGCAGGTGAGAGGCCCTTGGTACTTGGTGGCATCCTTTGTAAGGATCCGACACGAGGGCTGGGGAGCGCCTTTCAGAGAGCTGCAGGTCAGCGCTGGCTGTCATCAGACTTGCTGGCCTTGGAGGCCCAGGGCCTGGATTCGAATACTGGCCTTGTCGTTTTCTTGCTGTGTGATCTTAGGTAGTGATGTAACCCCTCTGGGCCTCAGATTCTTTATAATTTTGGGCCAGTTATGCTTGGCCATCTTAGAGGATTGTTGTGAAGATGAAATGGGATGTGATCCCATCTTCAATTGCCAATTATTCATAAAATTTATATAACAACCTATACGCCAGATGCTAGGACAGGCATTAGTAAATGTATCAGCTAGCTTTTGCTACATAGATGCAAACCGCAAGCTGTCATTAGCATACAGCAGCGCACGGTTAAATCGCTTATGCATCCGAGGGGCAGCTCAGGATAGCCCATCTAAGCTGGCCCAGCTGGGCGGCTCTGCCGCACGTGCCTCTCACCCTTCCCTGGACCAGCAGGCCAGCCTGGCATGGTCCCACGGCGATGGCAGCAGGGTGGCGAAGCAAATGGAAACACACGAGATCTCTTAGTCCTAAGCTCCCAGAACAGGCACGCCCTCATCTTGTTGGCCAAAAAAAGTCACACAGATAAAATCACACAGCCAGGAAATGTACCCTTCTACAGGGGAAAAAATGCAAAGTCACATGGCAAACGGCCTGAATGCCTGGACGCAGAGTGCGTGAAGGACCGGGACCGTCATGCGTGCAGAGACTGTACGGTGAAGAAGGACCGCACGGGGCGCACACTCGGGGGGCGGGACCACCTCTAGGAAAACGGCCCAGGGAAGCCCCTGGCTTCTGCCTGGAGAGGTCAGGGAAGGCTTTTCAGAAGAGAAGGAAGCAGAGAATTGGCTGCTCCTTTTCCATGAGCGACACGGTGGGCAGGTCCTCGGCCCCTCCGGTGGAGCAGGGCCACGCGCTGGCTCGCTCTGTGGGCCTGGGGACGGCGTCCCGTCCCGCGGAAGCAGCCCGGGGCAGGTTAAAAGGCAGAACCCTGACCTCACGTGTCTGCTTCCCAGTCCAGTCTCAGAGCTCTCCAGGCCTGGGCAACTTGCACTCCCCGAGAATGTCTGGGGGCATTCGGCGAGTGGGGGCGTTCCCCAGGTGCCCTGCGAGCCGGGGTGGAGAACCAGAGAGAGCACGGGCTGTCCCTGCTCAGGGCTGTCCCGGGACGGTGTGTGGAGGATCGCTGCGAGCCTCGGGCCTGCAGCGGTCCCCGTGCGGGTCACAGTGCTGCTTCCGCTGCGGCGTGCTCTCCCCCAGCCAAGCCCCTCTGGTGTTCTTGCCCACAAAATGGAGCAGGATTGTTTCCTGCTGAGGGGAGCGGGGTGCTCATCCCGTTGGATTTCACGTCGGCAAGGCGCTGAAGACTGAGGCAGTCCTTCCCACGAAATTACCTCACCTTGACCCCTTCCTCCTCCTCCTCAGGGAATCCCCGTAAAGGTCAAGAGTGGTCATGCACTCCTTGACAACTGAGGAAACTGAGGCACAGAAGAGCTAGGTGGCACTGGACTGAGCCTGCAGCTGCCTCTCAGTGACAGAAGACCTTCCGGCCATCGCCTCCAGGGTGGGGGAGGGAAGGTGTTACAGACACTCGCACCTCAGAGTGTGGGAAGGAAGCTTCCCCCCTCAGGGCTCCTCACTTTAGCAACTGCCTTCGGAAAAGCACTGCCTCTCCCTGTCCCTTCAGGGGCTGAGGCATTCTCAGCACCCACAGCCCAGCTCTTCCACGTCCTGGGGAGCTTAGAGCGAGAGAGTCAGCCAGTTCCAGGAAAACACAGGCTGTGTTGTCTCCCCCACGGAGCCCCCCTCGACGGCTGCAGCCAGCTCCTGCCTCAGTGGGGACACTCTCTCTTTTCCTCCTCTCCCCTCCTTTGCCCTCTTCTCTTCTTCCCAGAACCTCTTTTCCATCTCTCTCTCTCTCCCTCCTACACTTGGTGCTCCCCATTCTCTCTCCACTCTTGGCATCTTCTTCTCTCCTTTGCCTTTTTTCTCCCGACTTGCGTAGGAGTCGCCCTCTCTTCCTCAACTTCCCCGTCAGGCCTTCAGTATTCCAGGTGGAGCTTTCTAGAAAGGGATCCCAGTTCTAGCAGCAGCAGGGAGAGGTATGGCTGACCTGAGAGGCAACCACAAAAGGAGGCTCAGTCTGCCCCTGGGCCGTCCCCGCCAGGTGGCTGACAGCCAGCGCACACGTGCCTCTGCCCGAGACAATGCACGCAGGCAGCACAAGGAGTGTCGCGAGCAGAGACACACGCCCGCTAGTTCCACATGCCGCTCCCATTAATCACGCTGCAAAGAACGAAAATCTCGAAAAATCATTAAAATTACAGATGGCTAGATTAAGTAATTAGAATTTAGGCTAAAGCAGATGTTTGTAATTAAGTGTTTATTTCATTGAATAAAATCCAGATTGTAAGAACTATTCCATGAGATTTTAATGGTGCCTGTCCTGGTATTATATGGGGGTGGAGGGTAGAGTTTAAGCTGCAGAGGCTCGGAGACAAATGGGCACCCAAAGGATCCCGGAACCCAGTCCTCCTGGGCCTGGGCAGCGACGAGGGTTACAGGTGTGTGTCTAGAAGACATTCCTATTTCCACTGCAGGCGAGGAGGAAGGAACTCAGCCACAACTCCCTGAGTCAGAATTGATTCATCTTAATTTATACAGAGTCTTTCATTCCCCTAAACAATTTGCAAAC